AAACCGGAGAAACGTACAGACATGCACGCTCCGCGTGACCCTCTCGCACCAGTCCACAAAGGCGGGCACGCAATCTATGTGTCTCTTCTCCTCTGCTCTTCTCAGTCTGCTGACAGACAGCCTCAGAAAGAGAAAGGAGGGGCGGGGGAACTCACTGAGACCTGGGTGAGCCCGGTGCAAGAGCGGCTGTTTATTTAAAATAATCAAGCACGACCCGAACAGAGCCTTTAGTCCAGTCTCTCAGCGGGCACTGAGCAAGACCAGGCAACCAGCTGGGAAATGTCCCGGCGCTCCCAATGGCCAGTCTGCCCCTGCGGAGAGGCGAGCAGTGGAGCAGTGGGAAAACTGAAACTCGTTTTGATCCGGGGCTTTAGGCCCGGAAGCCCTGGTCTAACGAGACGCCTGGGTGTGGTCTTGTTAGCAGCGTTAGCAGGTCTTGTTAGCAGGTTCCTTCAGCAGCATGACGATAATAAGGACTGCAGCAGCTGCCTTCCAATCTGCCCTCCAGAACCGGGTCCAACAGACATAGAACATCCAAGGTTCCCCCGCGGAACCAAACGGGTCTCCAGAGTTCGGTTTGATCCGGCAGAAGGAGGATTTGTTAGCAGCGTTCCCAGTTACCGTCGGCAGCCTGATGGTAACAGTGACCGCAGCAGCTGCCATCCCTGACTGACCTCCAGAACGGGTCCAGCAGACGGAGAACATCCATGTTTCCCCACGGAACCGAACGGGTCCATAGAGTTTGGTCCATGCAGGCAGATGGAGGATTATGGAGACAGCCGCCATGACAGGCCTGAGCCCGAGGCTGGAAGGACTGAACTACGATGGCAGGATGGCAAGGCAGCAACACAGAAAACTCGTCAAGTGTGTCGTGGTCATACCTGTACTGTGGATGTGCATTGTGGGTGCAATAAAAAAAGTTTAAAACAAAACGAACAAATTTTTTTTTTTACATTTTCAAAGCAACCACATTCTGAACAGTCTTATTGCATTTCATCCGACTTTTATGTCGGTGAGTATTCTGTTTTATTCCACATTAAATATTTCTATACTACAGGGCAGTACTTTTTAAATGAGAGTCCTTCTATATTTAAATTTTCCTGAGATTTGCAGGATAAAATTATAGTCAGAGTTTGTTTGCTGACCTTTTCACATGCTAAGTGGTGCCCTTCTGCTTATTTGTCTTGCAGGAAAGCATTATTTTTCAATTAAGGTCAACAACAATTTAAGGAAGACATTTTAAAATTAGGAAACACTTTTCTTGCCCATTCTTTAAATCTAAAAACCGTTTAAGGTAACTTTAGTTTTGTGGCTAAAAACACCTGATGGAGATGGATGTGGATATCCTAACTGGGCCTTCCTGAAAGCAGAGAAGAAACCCAAAGAGGACTCCAGTCAGCCATCAGGTGAAAAGGAGGAACCCAGACCAGTGGTCATGTTGCAGGAGTTTCAGAGAAACTGAGATGTTTATTTTCTAAACATAACGTCCCAGTTGATTTTAATCCCCAATATACATTACGGCAAAGACTGGTCCATCCCAAAGATCCAGTCCCCCTGGCACAAAGAGAGTAATATTGTGTATGCTGTTCAGTGTCAGGAGGGTGATCAGTCTTACATCGGGGAAACTAAACAGCCACTGGCCAAAAGGATGGCCCAGCACAGAAGATCAACATCATCAGGCCAGGACTCTGCGGTCTACACTCATCTCCAGGCCAGCGGTCACTCTTTCAGGGATGAAGATGTTCACATCCTGGACAGAGAGGAACGATGGTTTGAGAGAGGAGTAAAGGAGGCCATCTTTGTGAAAAGAAACCGTCCATCATTAAACAGGGGTGGAGGCCTCCATGTCCAACTGTCCCCCTCTTACAATGCTGTGATTGCTGGGCTCACTCAGCCCTCTGTGAATAGCAAGCAGCCATCAGGGAACTAACTGTTATACTGATGGTTCTCCTTTTGAATGTGAACAACTAGTTTTGGCTGTCACCGGCAAACTGGTTGATCCACTATGAGAAGATGCTGCAATCAGGACTGAGTTTGTTGCATTGCCTTGGACAGAAGTTTTTTTTTTATAAAAGATAAAATGTTTCAACAAGAGGAACTCATCCAGAGGACCTGACTCAATTTTGTGAGATAATGAAATATATATTTAGTATGACAAAGATGAAAAATGCTGTTTTTTTAGCATTCTAAATAGATTTGATCAAGTTTACAGGACAGTAAAGAGTGTAGAGAAGGGGGAAGAAGAATGACTACTGTTCAAGTACAAAATATTCAACAAATCTATTTATGCTGCCTAAAAGATTTTGCTTCAATTTTCTACAAAGAGCTGCCTCAAAAAGTGTATGAGCTGCAAATATTGTTATTTATTTATTGCTCAACAAGGACAGGAAAAAAATTTGAGTTTGGACCAGATCCGTTTGGAGCGAAGGTCCTCCTGCATAAAAGACATATCATAAAGTGCTTTTACTGGAACTGCTTTTATGTGCAAATAAAAAATAATGCCAATACAATCCAACTTTATTTGTAAAGCACTTTACACGGCACAGCAGACCTAAGTGCTGTACAGAAGCACATTAAAACATGTAGCTCATACAAAATACAGTTAATAACACAAGTGGAATAAAGCTAGGTAATAAATAAAACTGTAAAATGCATAAGATCTGATCAAACAACCACAACAATAAAACCTACAGAAATCAGAAATACATTTGTAAAAATCAGGTATAAATAAATAAACTAAACTCTTTACAAAGTGGTAAAAGCTGAAGAAAATGTGGGTTTTAAAAAGAGTTTTAAAAAGAGACAATGCAGAGGGCTGTCTGAGATGGAGGGACAGCTCGTTTCATATTTTAGGAGCTTCTGCAGCAAAAGCTCGATCCCTCCTGAGTTTCAGTCTGGTTTTAGGGACTCAGGAGCAGCTGGTCAGCTGATCTGTGAATGGATGGGCTTGTAGGGATTCAGGAGTTCAGAGAGTTTAGGGGTGCAAGGTCATTGAAAGATTTAAAGACAAATAAAGTATTTTAAAATGAATCCTAAAATGCACAGACAGCCAGTGGAGTGAGACTAAAATGGAGGTGATGTGCTCATATTTACGTGTGCCAGTTAAAAGTTGTGCAGCAGCATTTTGTACTCTGTAATAGCTTGTTATTAATATTTGATGCTGTGATCTTTTTTGTTAAGCACATTGATAACAGTTACTGTTTTAAATGTGCTATATAAATAAATGTGACTTGACTTGACTCTGCAGTTGGGCAATGGCGGACCCACTAGCCCGCAGATACAGTTTTAAGCAACTCCTCTAATAGCAATTAATGGTACCTCTGATGTATTCACCCATCATCCATCCATCCACCCATCATCCATCCATCTATCCATCCATCATCTTCCAACATCTCAGTTCCCTCTTTACCACAACGAACCGGCACAGTCCGTAACACTGCAGATGCTGCACCAATCCATCTAGCAAACTCCATTCTTCCCTCACTCGTGAATGAAAACCCAAGACACTTGAGCTCCTCTGCTCGAGGTAGAACCTCACTTTCAACCCGAAGAAAGCAGTCCACCCTTTTCTGTTTGAGGACACTGATTCTCATCCCAGCTGCTTCACACTCGACTGTGAACCGTTCCAGTGAGAGCTTAAGATCACGGCATGATGATGCCAACAGGACCACATCATCTGCAAATAGCAGAGATGGAATCTAGAGGCCACCGAACCAGACTCTGATGTATCTATAAAAGTTTGACATGCAAGGCAGTGTGTATTCTTTCAAGGTGTGCTTGTTTGATTTTTGAGTAGAACTGCAAGAGGCGATGTGAGGTTTAATGATGAGAGTTAACTGAGCTGTTCTCAGTCGTATCAGCTGTAAAGTAATAAAACAACAGCAGATCTCATTTCTAACGCCCACACTACAGGATTTTCCAGTCTACATATGAAAACAGCACAATGAAGATCCTCAGATTCTGTCATGGGTTTGGTTATGGTGTGCTGCAACAATAACTAACAGTAGTCCCCTTCGGACAAATTCTTTGAAAACGTTCCTGCTTGTTGAAGAAGCAATGCAGTCACTATCAGTGACATTATCATTTTACATGATAAGTGAAGACAAATTGACGTTGTTGAACAATAAGACAATGCATTTGGTTTGACCACTATAATCAACATCTAGCTCAAACAAACCAGTTAAAGACAGATTTATAATAAAATCCTGCATAGAAACAGCTTTAATTAAATTCTAATTGGGTAATCTTTATTAATCTTGCATTTTTTTTTGTTTGTTTGATTTTTTTTTTTTGTCTTTTGATCACTGGGCTTATGGGCATCAGTTCCAGTTGCATTTATGGCAGATGTGGCCTTGCCTCCATCTCTGAAAAGTGTTTTTTTTGTGTGTGTGACAAGTGCTGAGCAGCATGGACGCTATAAAAAAATTATCTCTTACTGTCCTTAAGCATAACAATTATTACTAGTGTTAAATTTTAAAAAATCAACAAACTGGAGCTTCCTGTTTTTTCTGTTTCTGCCACAACAATGCACACCAGTTTACAATTCAATAGCCATAATCCCATTTCCAAACATTTATTTTCCAGTAAAACAGCTACTGTTCTACTTTCCAGCATCATGTAGATTTTTTTTAAATTGATAGCAATGCTTTCAAAATGTATTTTTTGTTTTTGAAAACCGTCATCACTGTCACTTTGTGTGTTTTTTTTTTAAACCAGGCTATTCTGATATTGTCTTAGTAATTGCATGAAGCTAAAACTTATAAAATATTTGAAAGTTCTGTTTGTTGTTGAGCATTTAGAGCTAAAATAAATGTGACAACACAGCAGACAAATGCACAGTAGGACTGCTTCTTTTCTCTTGATAAGTGTTTCAGAAAGTTGTTGTGCACCCCACAGTATGGTAATCTAATTTCAATCTGTTTTTGTTCTCTTATCCCCTTTCTCCTCTGTCGTCCTCCACATTTTGCTCCTTCTCTTTTCCTTTTTTCCTCTTTTTCTCCTTGTCTAGTTTGCTGTGTAGAAGTGCTTCTTAAGGTAAGACTCCCATTTTGTTTTGCTTCTCCTCGTCTTACTCTGATATTTTACCCATAAAGCACAGCATGCCATCTGCACTTGATACAGAGAGCGTATCACCAAACAATCTGGGGCCTCAAAATTTATTTGGCTCATGATTTTTTATTTTTTTTGCACACTACATCACAATAACAGTGTTAGGATAACAAAGAGAAAGTGCAGTAGCAACCCCTCCAACACTCCCCCACCCTCCACCCCACTGCAGAATGTGCAGAACCCCCGCAGTGGCAAGTATAACACTTTTTTTACAGGGATTTTTGTCACCTATTTGATACTTTATTTATCATACTTTACCTGATAAAGTTTACTTTTGTAAATCAGTGAGAATAAATGTTTTAATAAATCACAAGTCTCGTTCCTCTGGGTCCTACAAGCTGTTATTCAAGGAAAAGTCCACCAGAAACAAATTACAGTTTTTTTTAATATTTTCTGTTTGCTACCGTTTTAATGGTATATTGTTATTGCTTTTAGACTTGCATCCTTTATAACAATGCTGGCAAACTCAGAATAGTTAAAATACATACATGTGTGCCATTATGCCATTATCATTATATTTTTAATATCTGTCTACTATATACAGGTCCTTCTCAAAAAATTAGCATATTGTGATAAAGGTCATTATTTTCCATAATGTAATGATAAAAATGAAACTTTCATATATTTCAGATTCATTGCACACCAACTGAAATATTTCAGGTCTTTAATTGTTTTAATACTGATGATTATGGCATACAGCTCATGAAAACCCAAAATGCCTGTCCCAAAAAATTACCATAGTAACATTACATACTTGGGCATTAATATTTCTCCTAGATTGGAAGACTTAATAAAATTGAATCATATCCCAATTTTAAAGAACATTGAAGATGATCTTACTAGATGGAAATCTCTGCCCATATCACTTATGGGAAGAGTTGCCTCAGTAAAAATGATGGTCCTGCCGAGAATAAACTATTTATTCTCAATGATTCCAAATAAACCTTCAACTGAATGGTTTAAGTCACTGGACTCATTGATATCTAAATTCCTTTGGAAAAACAAAACTCCACGTATTAGCTTAAAAGCATTACAGAAATCTAAAGATACCGGAGGATTAGAACTTCCCAACTTCTATCACTACTATTTAGCCAATAGGTTACAATATATCTCAAAGTGGTTAAATCCGAATACATTAGATGAAACTTGGATAGACATAGAACAAACTTTATGCAATAATATTAAGATTTCAGATCTACCGTTTATTAGCACAAATATAAAAAGACATGTTTGCTTTAAAAGCATCAGTATTAGCTCTTCTCTGACAGCATGGTGGGAGTATTTGAAAATGACAAAATCTTCACTACTCCCCTGTAGACATACACCCATCTGGAACAATCCTGACATCCTACAAGAAAATAATATGTTAAATTTCCCAGGTTGGAGAGTCAAAGGAATTGAACGTCTGGAACACATATATGAAGGTGTAGACTTTATTTCATTTAATAATTTAATAATACAATTTGGCATTGAAAATAAATACTTCTTAGAATATCAACAAATTAAGTCTATCATAAAAAAGAAATTTAAGCTTAATAAAACTTTGTTAGAAACACCAATATGTGTGTTAGAGTTCCTTAATCTTAAATCCCCCAAATTATTATCTAAAATATACAAGAAATTGTCTAGAATCAATGACTCCATAATGTTACCTGTTGCAAAATGGGAGTCAGATTTATCAATCAATTTTGGCCAAAACACCTGGTCTCAAATATGTTTAAGAACATTTAAAATGACTAGAATCTCCAACTTACAATTAATACAGTATAAAGTTCTTTATAGAGTACATTATACAGGTCAGCGAATGTTTAGGATGGGATTTACATCATCTAACAACTGCTCACAGTGCACAGGCAATATTCCTGATGATTATATCCATGCACTCTGGTTCTGCCCACCCGTTCAGAGGTTCTGGGTCCAGGTTTGTGAAGACTTGTCTAAATGTCTGAAATGTAATATTCCACTCTCTCCATCTGTTTGCTTATTGGCTATCTTGGAAGATGTTACCCTGGAAAAAAAATACATGTTGCATGATTTTCACTGCCTTATGCATCGCAAAGAAAACCATACTCCTGAATTGGAAAAATAAAAATAATCTTAGCATTAATCAGTATAAAAATCTTCTGTTAGATCATATTAGTCTTGAAACAGCATCTGCCGACACATTGGATCAATCTCTGTGGGCTCCTTTGATCGGCTCCGTTACATAGTGAGGGTGGGTAGTCTGGGATCTGACCTTGTGGGGCCTTGGGGTTGATGTGGAGGCGGGTGTATGGGTTTGGGGCCCCAGGGGGGTTGCCGGGGGCTGGGCTCTTGGGGGTACCTGGGCAGGGGGGCACTGCTTTCCCTCTGGGGAGGGCCTGGGTGGTTCTGGGGGATGTCTGCTGGTGGCTGCATGCAGGCCCTCAGGTGGTCTGTGGCAGCGGTCGTGGGTCACCGATCTGGTAGCCTGGCTGTGCTGGTGTGGGTTTGGGGTGGGCGCGGGGGCTTGGGGTTCTGGGGGTTTGTCGCCCCCGGGCTTGGGCCTGTGGGGATCGGGGATCTTGGGCTCTGGCGGGCGGGTTGCCGGGCTCTGGGCCGGCTTGCGCTCTGGTTCCCGGTTCTGGGCGGGGGCCTTCGGCTCGCTGGTGGGTTGTGGGTTCATGGGCTGGGGGGTTGGGTGTTTGGGGGCGTGACCAGTGGCCCCTAAGAGGGGGTAGTTTGACCCAGCCTAGGTGTCTAGTGTGCTATGTGTTTTGAGAGATGTCCGAATGAGGGGTGGGTGTAGTATTTCTTCTGGTGTGGGGATGGGGTGGATGTCCTTGGGGGCGGCCCGGGACTGTGCATGGCCGGCTGGCTGGCCCCTTTCCTGTGGTGGGGGCTCGCTCCCGGTGCTTCCTGGCACTGTCGGCGGTTGGGCGGGCGCTCTTGGCCGTGTCGTCCTGGTGGGGTTTGGCTTCATCTGGTAGCGGGCTGACTGCGGTTTGTGGGGGTCCTGGCGGCCCTCGGGTGTGTAGGCTGCTGGTACTGCTTCTGGCGGCCCTCGGGGCTCTGTCCCTCTCTGGTCGGTCCAGATGGAGAGGTGTCTTGGCCTCAATCCCTGGGTGGACCTTGGGGAGCTGGGGGGGGGGGGGGGGGGGG